GGCCTACAAGTCAAATACTTTTTGAGCTATGCATGAACAAGTTGAAAATTGCAAATTTATACTACTGTAAGTCAAGGGCAATAACTCTAAAAAAACTGTAAAAATCCACATGCAAAGTCCCAGGTGCATAGCTCTACAGTGATGTTGATCATTATTTCTGTAATTTAGTGATGTTGATCATTATTCCTGTAAAGTTGGTTGGTTCTAACTCAAGCACTCAAGGAACAAATAACAACATAATGAAACGGTTTTTACTAAGTCAAGGGAAATGACTCTACAAATACTGGATAAATCTACAAGTGAAACCCCAGGTGCACAACTTCATATGCTGAGCAACCTTCCCATAAGGTTTAATGACTCTATGTCAAATCCTTTTTTAATTACATGCGACACAAGTTAAAAATTGCAAAAAAAATTTAAGTCAAGGGCAATAACTCTAAAAGTACTAAATATACCCAGGTGCACAACTACACATGCTGATCAACATTCCTATAAAGTTTCATGACTCTATGTCAATTCCTTTTTGAGTTACATGCGACACAAGTTGAAAATTGCAAAATTTTACTAAGTCAAGGCCAATAACTCTAAAAATACGAATTAAATCCACAAGAAAACACCCAGGTGCACAACAACATATGCTGATCAACATTCCTGTAAAGTTTCATGGCTCAAGGTCAAATTCTTTTTGAGTTACATGCGACAAAAGTTGAAAATTTTTACTAAGGCAAGGGCAATAACTCTAAAAATACTATATAGATCCACACAAAAATACCCAGGTGCACAACAACACATGCTGATACACATTCCTGTAAAGTTTCATGACTCTAGGTCAAATCCTTAACAAAAGTTGAAATTGCAAATTTTTACTAAGGCAAGGGCAATTACTCTAAAAATACTATATAGATCCACACACAAATACCCAGGTGCACAACTACACAGTCATGCTGATCAACATTCCTGTAAAGTTTCATGACTCTAGGTCAAATACTTTTTGAGTTACATGTGACACAAAAGAAAACGGATGGACATACGGACAAGGGTGAATCTAAATGCCCGCTACTAAAGTGGGGGCACAAAAAATACTCTCAAACGCCTACGGTGAAACTGCTAAAGAATGTGCAGATGCCTACTTCTGTTACGGACAAGCTTTGTTAGACTTGGCTCGAATAGAGAATGGAGTGCTGGGAAACGCCCTTTTTTTAAGAAAAGACTAATTTCACTTGATCTTTAATAGGGAACGCAACTTTCCATACATAGTTCATTCATTATTTTATTCAAATTAGACATATTCAATAAGAATTATAAAGATTTCAATAAATTTATGAGATATAAATATTTTACTCAAGGATGAGCATAGTATATCTTTAAGCTCAAATTATAATTCAGATCAGACATGGGGTAATCGTAATCAATAATTTAATTTAATTGATTACAATTTTTTGAGTAATCACAGTAATCATAATTTTTTTCCTGTAATTTAATCATAATTTAATCAATTACATGACCAATTAATCAGTAATCACAATGATTACATGTATGATTACAATACATGTTAAGCTAACAAAAATTGCTGAACAAACATACATATAAAGGTTAAAAAAGTACCAGTGTCAATGCCTACTAATTGTCTTAGGTAGTGTAGGTGAATTAAATGCAGTCACCCAGGTCAGATTTGATGACACCTGTGTTTTAATAAGGAGATGAAAAGATCACTGACAGATTGACCCAATACATAAATGATTGTCACAATTATACCACTTAAATTTAGCTGTGAAATTATAACAATGGCCTGGATAGGTATATTATCACTTATTGAGAAGACTTTACAGGTTCAGTAAAGAGCAAGTATAAGCTGCAATTACTGACAAAAGTGAGATATGGTTATATTTTCTGTTACATTTTCTGTTACATTTTGGTATTGTTAAGTCCATGTAGAAGCAAATACATTTGAAAAACTAATGAACATTAAATGTAATATGAGAATATAGCTTAGTAAATAGGAGGCAACACATGTACATATGTAGACTGAATTAATTACTGTAAAACTAAGCTGGATTATTTTTTTGTACATTTGTTGTATTGAAATGTTCAATAAAACGATAGTGTTGAACCATTGCATTTCTTAACTTATGTACATGTAATCAGTAATCATAAATGTAATCTGATTACTCCTGTCAGTAATCAGTAATTTAATCAATTACAATGTCAAAATGGAGTAATCAGTAATTTAATTTAATCAAGCATTTTGACAAATAATCATAATTTAATCGATTACAATTGTCAAGTAATCGCCCCATGTCTGATTCAGATGCTTTGTTATAACCTTCTTGGTCATATTTCTATTATAGCTTTAACGGTACACTAGTATATAACTATCTATTTTTCGTAAATACATCAAGGACAGATTTGGCATAATACTCACAGAACACGAGTGACCTTGGTGCCCAATTTTGACTTTAGGATAAAGTTTTATAAAGCTTTTGTAGAGAACCATAAAGTGATGCTACATGCTATAAATCTATACTCTTGGCATTATAATTGTGAAGAAGAGGATCATTTCTGTAAAGTTTGGTCAAAATCCACCAAGTGGATTAGTACAAAATAATGTATTAACTAATTATGGGTAATTGTAGGGACACTTTTTCATTGCAAAATCTCACCACAAATTATGTTGTGCACAAATCTAGTTAAGGAATCTTGTATCCACCAGTACTATTCAAATAGGACAGTTGACATATCCCATTACAGATTCTTGGAAACTGAGTTGAATAATACTAGTAAATAATAACTAAATGTGTTGATTTTTTAAATATTTTATTTAATTTTTGCACCTCATGTGACAATAATACTAGTAAATAATAACTAAATGTGTTGATTTTTTAAATATTTTATTTAATTTTTGCACCTCATGTGACAGTACATACAATAAAAGTATAACAGTTTTAATGTAAGTGTTATATCTTATTTAAATAAAAACAAATTCAAACACAATCTGGTCATATTGTGCCAATTATTAATATCTTTTACTGACAATTGCTATTAACAATCAAACCTTTTTTAGTTAAAGGAAAGTTATACCACCAAAAACAACAACAATTTTTCACTTTCAAGAATTATAAAGACAATATATACTTGAGAATAATAAATATCATTTTAAAAAAATCCTTAATTTAAGAACGAAGATGTAAATAAATGTTCATAAAATGTAATTAATGACCGACTTCTTAAGATAATTATGAAGATTGAATTGAAAGTATGTGATTTAAAGATATACTATGCTCAAATTTGATATTAGAAAATATTGATAATTGCTACACAGTTTCTTTGTAAATTTGACTTTACAGGAAGTAGATTATGTTATGTTTAAAGCTATACACACTATAGGTTGTAACAATATGAATTTAAAGTGTCATTAAAAAAAACTGGCAGTCTTTTTTTTAAAGAAAGTACCAATTTTACTTGCACCTTAATGTGGAACAGAGATTCCCATTCATAGTTTATTCATTCAATCAAATTGGACATATTCAGTAAGAATTTCAATTAATTATTTTACAGTTCAATGATGAGCAAAGTATATCTTTCGCATACTTTAGAAATTTCTAGAAATTTCATATCAATGCTATATGGGGATATACAGAATCACAAATAAAGCCTGATATATCCCACAAAACGTAGGTTTGAAAAATTTCATTACTAGTTTAACTCCAATTAATAACATTGATATAGCCTAACACATGAAATATGGACAAAGATATCACAAATATGTAAATAGTGTCAGTATTTTTCACTAATAAGACCCCATGTTTTTTTTTCTATAAGCAAAAACAATATTTATATATCTTAAAACTTGCTCAAACAAATACAACATCAAAGCATTTTTTCCATTTTACTTTGGATTTCAAATCCCTTCTTAGAATAGCTTAATAATAAGCTAAGTAGTTTGGTCCCACATTTATACATACTAAATTCTCTACTATTAAGGTGTTGCATCTAAAATAGATGGCCAATTTTTATTCTTTCAGACAGGGGCTGGTTACGGCTGTAAATAGTTTCTCAACAGTCAGACTTTCTGGTCTCTTCCTGCAGCTAGTGTACAATTTTCAAAATATTTTCTATTTATAACAATAAAAGTAAGTAGTCATGTAGAAAATAGGCCATCGTGCTTGCAGGAGCAATAAAAAAATCTTGCCGAACCTTTTGATTTCTAAATGATTTGTTTGCTTCTGAAGGTGAACCTAGTTATGGCTGATTTTAAAACAACTTAAGATGGAGAAAACACCTTAAACATTCATCTCTAAAGATTCCATAGAGAAATAACTTCTACTTGTAACAACAGATTAACAATATTTTCTTAAACCCTTACATACACACTTAAAAAAATTTCACTATTCCCAACTTTACAAAACATTTAACATATATATTATAATACATATAAAGGTAAACACCTTTGGAGTATAAAATAGTAAAGAATATTTACTTTATAAAATTTGGAAATTGAAAAAAAAAAAAACCCAGAAAAATCAGAAGAAAAAACATTACAAGGAAAAGCATAAAGAAGGAAAAAATAATATGTATTTTCCCCACTTGTTGACTTCTTACTTGTAACCTATTGGAAATAACAACGTCATATATAACATCTCAAAATAGTATCATACAATTGCATGAAAACTTCCAAATCCTTATCCTACTCAATTTCTTAAATGGACTTGTCACAAAATTTTATGACTCTATACATATATCCAAATGTTAAGTTGAATCATTGTTCTTTTTTTTAATTTTTTTTTTTTAATTTTTTCTTCTCAGAGTAAACAATGTTAATTGTGAATAAGATGTAATGAAATAATAATAAAACAGACAAAATCTTTAATTATTACAACAATGAAATCACTTTTCAACTTAGCAATTGCAACAAAACATTTTTAAAATGTAAACACACAATATCTTGCTAAGAAAACTTGTTCGAAAGAAAAATAGGAGACAATATTTTTTTAAAAAAAGAAGAAAAAAATTAAATTAAAATCCTAGAGTGTCTAAAAATAGATCATAATTCTGTGTGTGCGTGTTGATGAGCATTCAAATCTCCCCTGAACGTGCCTTGAGGGTCCTCCGAGGGTGTGACAAAAACTCCTTCCATCGCTTGCCAGTAGTTTAACTCATTTGGTGAAGAGTATCCGCAAACCTCACGCTGGTTTTTGATTGGACGACCGTAAGTATCACCTGTCACATGTAGGTAACTGAAAAATAAAATGAAAGAAATTAAGCGTCCATAAATTTGTAACTAAATACAATTATTATCAAAGACTACATTTGGTATTATTAAAGGCTATAAAACCCATATTATAGCTAATGAAATACATGTACAATAGAACTCTGATTAGTCTATGTTAAAGGGAATTGTGTAAAAACTTTGTCGCATCATAACTTAGACTATTGAATCGGTCTTTATTTAAAATCAAAATTCAACATTTACAAGCCAAATACAAAACGGATATCAAAAGGAAAGGGCGATAACTGAACTAGCTTCTAGTAAATTTATCCCGTGTGTTATCACACGGCACAGGGTCAATGAAGTTTTCAAACAAAACTTATTTGTAATGTTTATTTTGAAATACAACTATGGCAATTTGAATGATAACAATTGAAGCGCATTTTATCACAAATGTGAGCTTATACAAAGGCTGTTTGACACATAAAATTTCCGACTGGTACATAGGTTTTTATAAAAAATAGGGGGGAAATATCTGAACTTTCATTATACTTCGACACATAGAGAAAATCAACTAATCAAAGTTTGACTCATAGAAGTTCTACTGTATTTTGATAATGGACAGTTCCAAAATGGAATTTGGACAAGTTCATTAAAGAACTTTACTACGCGGAAGAATGGATAATTCTAGTCACAAGGTGCCCCATGTTAACATACAATCAAAATTCAAAGTGTCTCTGTCCTATCTAAAATTGGCAGCAAGAAAAACTACTGTAAATACAAAGTAACTTACTATTCTGTAACAACGTTCTTTATCCTCACTTTATCTTTTCTGTTCCAGTATTTTCCAGAACAAACTATTGACCAATTATCTCCTGAAATACACAAAATATGGAATACATTATACATACATAGCCAACCGCTGTATATTTCTTACTATGTCTTTACTCATATAATTCCAAAATTTCAACAAATAATTACTTCAACTGATCAGAACAGTAACTATTATTGCAGTCAAAACGTTTCCAACCAGAAAACCACAAAGACTAGTGGTTAGTAATATCTACTAGCCAGATCAGGTTTATACAACACCAAAAATGTTAAAACTTAAAAAAAGTAGAAAGTCATTCAAGAATAACTATTCAGGTTTTTTTCTCTTCTTATTCTATACTCTGAATTGATAAATTAGTTGTTCTTTTTTCATTTTCAGAAGGAGACTGACTGCTAATTTTTTATAAGTCACTCAGGCTAGTTACCAGAAAATTTCATTTACAGACTGTCGTTTCACAATAAGTAATTTTAACCAACAAGAGCTGTCAGTAGGGCAGCACGCTTGACTATTCTTAGTGTTTGATAGTAAAAGAGCCTTGATAATGTAAAGGTTACAAAAGGGCCAAATTTTTCTTTAAAAATCCATGTTACAGTTATAGACCTTGGAGAAAGTCCTATTATGCTCTCAAAGAAGTGTACAAAATTGCAACTTTTTCAAAACCAGATGTCAATGGAATAATAAAATATCTGAGGTGGTATGCAAACTTAAATGTAAATTCTAAGTCAAAACAGGGGCAATATTCAGTCAAAATGCTTGATAGAGTTACCTCCTCCTGTCTATAGGTTGGGGTCATGATTGTGAACAAGTGTGCAAAGTTTCAAAGCAATATGTCAATGGACTTTGATAATGTATGAGGTATTGCAAAAACTTTATGAGGTATTACAAAAACTTGAAGGTAAATTCTAAGTAAAAAAAGGGACATCATTCTGTAAAAATGATTGATAGAGTTACCTCCTCCGGTCTACAGATTGGGGTCATGCTGAGGAACAAGTGTGCAAAGTTTCAAAGCCATAGTCAATGGACTCAGGGCTTGAGCTAGGGGGCAACTTGGGCAAAGAAGAAGCCTTCGGATCAGCGACTTCGCCTAAAATAAACTTCAAAACGATTTTAAAGTCGCCCGATTTTTTAATGATATGTCATACCTATTTACGAAGCTAGGTCTGTTAACAATTTGTTTACCTCTCAATTACAACCAATTACCATTAATCCGCTAGTTAGAACGCGTGTCAACATCATTGTCAACAAAGTTTAATACACGCCCCAAGGCAAGAGTTCACTATGTATATCTTTCTCATTATGTATTCATGCGATTGATGAATCCGAACGGGCATTGTATCTACGGCAGTTTGCATTGACCAATTGGCGACACATTAACATACTGCGGTTGTTTGTTGACAATTACACAAAATGGCGACAGATTCAATCAATTTTCGCGGATTGCATGATTAAAGACACCTGCATATACATAATTGTTGATAATTGTTGCTGTGTTTTGGCAAGTAAAGATAAACAATCTTAAAGGTGTGGTTATGTTTGAAAACTCGATTGTTAAAAACTTTTGAAGCACTAATCTGTAGAAATTATGTGAAGTTTTGTATCTTATATTTTTTTAATACATTGAGCTCCATAAAGTAAACACAATGATTATACAAAATTAAATGTCTCTAACATTCTGGCTTGCAGGCAAATCATTAACCAAAAATTATAGACGATGAGCAGTCTGACTCATTGACAATATGGCAAGTGGCACTGCTCTATCTGCCCTGAATATTGTTACATACTCACTATTTCTACATGTATACGGTATATGTAAATATTGTGTTTGCTATTGGTATATATTTATGAAAAGCAGATTTACAGTAGAATTGTTTTATTTGATAGGTGTTTCATATTTCTTTTCTGGTTTGTAAAGTTTCCTAGCTTATAATTCTCCAGTAAAGCCTAATAGGTCTCCCAACTTCTCCCTAAAGTTTCCTCACTTCTCCCTAAATCAGCTGGAGGAAGAAGTCACTTCTTCCTAAAATTTTGACCTAGCTCAAGCCCTGGGACTTTGAAAATATTTTAGGTGTTACAAAAACTTCAACATAAGTGGTTACGCCGACGCATCGGGTGACTAGGATAGCTCTACTTATTCTTATTGAATAGTCTTGCTAAAAAGGGGGTATAACTCACTCAAAATCCACGCAAGAGTAAAAATTAGCAGACAGAAACCTACAATTATGGTCCATAGACATTATGCTGATATACATGTATTAAGTTTCAAGTGAAAAACTTCTACTGTTAATATTTGTTTGTTTTATTGGGTTTTACGTCACACTGACACAGTATAGGTCATATGGCGACATTCCAGCTTTACTGGTGGAGGCAGACCTCAGGTGCCCTTCCATGCATTATTCCTGGCACAAACGGGTACCTGAGTAGAACCACCGATGTTGGATAGCTTCCTAACATGAAAGAATTCAAAGTCCCTGTTGGGATTAAAACCCCCAGTTGTGAGGGGCAAGTGGTTTGAAGTCAATGACCTTAACCACTCTGCCACGGATGCCCCTACAGTTACTGTTAATCTAATATGAAGTTGCTTGCAAAACTTTTAAACAAGTTCTATACCAACTTATCCTGGCTGTGAAAGAATAGCCTCTAAGAAAAATCAAATTGAAAGAATACAATGTACATCTTTACCCGTATTATAATACTACATGTAATTGACTATTTCCCACCATTCCCAACTTTATATAATGTAACAGATAAAAAGATACATGTAGATATATACACATGTAATGAAATGATACACATCACATTAAATAAGTGTATAAACAAGGAAAAAACAAGAGCTGTCGCACAAAGGTGACAAATGCACACAAAAATGTTTCACAAGCATTGTTTGTTTGTTTCTTTGTTTCATTTTACGCCTTTTCCCAACAGTTTTTCGGTCATATAGGCGGGTAGTTTCCTAACCATCGTTCCTGGAGAGTTACACCAGTACTAGACTACCTTCCTCCGTGCTAAACTACCAAAGCATCTCCCGGGATCGAACCCACGCCAAAGAGGTAACTGGATTAGAAGTCATTACTCTAACCCCTCGACCACGGAGGCGGTTCATAAGCATTGCAGAAAGGTATTATGAACAGAAAGGTATTATGAAAAGAGAATAACAGCAATTAATTGCTTAATATTCTTCTTGTGAAAAGAACTGCTATTTGGGAAAATATAACATGGTAATTTTGAGGGGGCAGGGGGAAGCTTGATGTAGATTTAATTTCAGCATAAACTGCATTATTTTAAAATATTTCTCAAGTTAAATACCCAAGTAAACAGCTCCTGCTATAGGAAGGGAAAGAAAGCACCAACAGTACACAGTTGGCTGTACAATAGTTTAAAACTGAAAGCAGAGTATAAGACCTAAATTTTTTGGTAATACCCTCAAACATAACTGGATCAAAATAACTTTAATAACATAACTGAAGAAACTTAACATTGTTTACATTTAAAAAATTACATCATAATACAGTGGTTGAGATTTGTTTCAATGCAAGCATTTAAATGTATTTTACTTAGAAAATTTCTTATCTGCATACCATATTGTTTCATATTAGCTCCTCCAGGGTTTTTTTCCAGGATTTTGGGAACATGACCCATACCAATGGATTTGGGAATTACAGCAAGGTTTTGTTAAAAATTGGGAAAAAATGCATAACTTAAATTTTGCAGTGATTAAATGAATGCAAAGAATCACTGTCTAGAATGGCATCTTCAAACATTTAAGCCCCATAACAAGAAGCCCTTATTTTTGAAGAGTTTTGAATTTGTTATTCAATATTTTTACTTTGTAACTTTCAATTGGGAATTTTTTCCTGTGGATTGGGAAAATAATATACTATTTTCAATTGGGAATATAACCGAATATCGGCTATAAAATAAGCCAAAAAAAATCCCTGTCCTCTGTGAATGAAAGCTTTTTTTCTTCTAAAGCAAGGTGTTAAATAATAACTGCTAAAATTGAATATGTTTAATCATAACAAATTATAAAATAAAACATGTTTACACATATGGTGGCCACTTAAACTACATTAATCCTTGTGATCAAAATCTTTTAGTTATTGACACAATTTAACAGTTATAATGAATACAATGCCTGAAATTTACCAGTAATGTTATTACTTAAAAAGGACGATTTATTTGTTTTAGATTTGAAAGTCATTATGATGCCTTGACATACTACTTTCTTCTGTAAAATTATTTTAGGGTAGAAATGGGGAGTTTGAGGGTGTGGGGCACTAATTATAGGGGTTGCTTACAGGAAACAATATGGTATTAATGATGCAATTCAAAGAGCTATTTCAGATTTGTATCATTAATAATGATTATACATTTAAAACAAGAAAGGTAACTCCATACAAAAGAGTTTTAAATCTAAACCACTGTATAGACGACTGTATATTGTACCTTGACGCTCAAACGGGGTACCTGTTTTATTTTTTCCAAATATAATAATAATGATGTAATGATCAAACTGAAAAGTTTTATTAAAGAATGACAATGATTTATGCAATTATAACATTCATCAGCTTAAGCAAAATATATAATAAGTCAGACATTCCTAAACCAGTCACATTATCAAAAACAAACCATATGTGAGAAGTTTAAAATCTTGTGATGGAATACATGTCATTGTTATAATACCTCCTTTCAGTAAATAATAAAGTACCAATTATCTTAACAATTATTTTGAATATTTTGAGCATTTTTAAATTCTTTATAACTGACCAAGTGAAAGTTAAGCCATACAAGGTAAGTCACTGATACAATTTTAATTGCCGATTAGTTCTACGATAACCTCCTTTGTACATATATAGTACCAACATTCTGTAAGCTAGCTGGATAGCTTTCTCACATCAAAGAATCTTAAGTCTCCTATCGGGATTGAAACCCACAGTGGTAACCACTCAACCACAGATGCCCCACATCCTATAACAACATACTGTTACATTACAGTTCTAAATCTAAGCAAACAAACATGTTATTGAAAGAACTTGATTTGCAAGTCAAAAGCCATTTCAATTTCCTAGACATTAGGCTCATTAGATCATACCCCTATAGATCCAAATGTCGAGAAAGAACATCTGGGTTGAAACACTGACCCTTTTAAGTTGGTGTCCTTTTTTCTAAAGAGAATCTGTCCCTTTTAGGAATTCATTTGGTAGAGAGTGAAGGTCGTCTAGTTAAATATCTAAGGATGTTAAAAAAGCACCACTTCGCCACTACAAAATTAAAAGTTTACAACAGAGGTTACCTACCCTCATCGCCATCACCAAGCTTCACCAAAGGCACTAACTTCTAGATTATGCGATAATGGCCGACCTGAAAATGATGACTGTGTAAATTTCTTCGAGTTTGTAAGTGCATTAATCGAATTGTTTGTCCACACTTGATAGGCTGCCTGAAACCAAATTAGGAAAGGAAACTCATTCTTTCAATCAAGTCTTATGCGTAGTAATATCATTAATAACTTTACTTTTACTTTTTCCTTCTTTTTTTCCAAAATATGAGGAAAAAGAATTCAAAGTCCCTGTCGAGATCCGAACCACAGCAGTGAGACTCAGTGAGAGGCAAGTTGTTTGATGTCAGCAACCTTAACCACTTGACCATGGACCCCCCTTTTTTCTTCAATTAATATTTACTGTTATAAATATGATTACATAACACAATATGAAAAAATTAGAATCCATTCTAAATTTAATAATGAAAATTTCCCTAATCCTTAATAAGTTTATTTCCAATATGATAGTAAGATGCTGATGCCCCTTCTGTCAGGTAAAACTCTATTTTCAGCAGCTTGGAATACTTAATTATACATACAGACAACTCAATATGAGTCAGTGACAGTCACTGATTTGAATCACTTGGCCACACAAGAAGAAATTTATACAGAAAACAATACGATTTTTATATAGAACATGTACATTATTACTACTAATATGTACCACCCAACAATAACATACCCTCTGATACATTGTGCTCCTGTTTTAGCTTTCACTTGCCAGTAGCTGTTATGGTCATCTGATGATTCCACTGCAGTAACTGACTGTAAAAAAGTTGTTTTTTTTTGTAAATAATACGTAACTTACTCACATGTATGATAGTGATAGTTAGTGAATTTCTTTTTATCTGAAATCACAAACCATACAGGTCTTGAAATTTATGACAATATGATATCTGATTAATTAATAAAACCTTTGTAACTCTGAAATTTCTCAAAATACTACATATTATCCCAATTTCAGCCTGGGCTTTTTATATGCCTTTTTCTCTTTTTCAAATCTTTATATTCAAATTCTTTAAAATCATGCAGTTTTACTCTAAAATTCAATTGACATTAATTTTTGCTTCCCCTTTTGCAAAAGTACTGTTTTGCAGAAATTTACCAAATTTAAAGAAATGCCCCTGCCCCTATCTGTGATAAAAAAGGCCCTGTCCATATGGCTTTGATTTTGCGTTCATAGAGCACCACCTTTCCTTGTTGATCTCGTTTATCATAGTTTTAGCACTACATGCTGAGGTGAGCTTATAAACTTACCTGTTGTCCACTTCCTGATCCATATTTAACATCATGTGAATGCAGTCTTACATTATGATAAGAGTTGTAAATTTTAAGCGTAGATCCACATGTCACATAGTCATATTGGAAACCTGGCAATGGAGAAATGAGAAATGTTACTTTTTAAATAATTCAAAGACAACAATATTACAAAAGTAAACTGAATCCAATATTTTGAGCCACATTGGCCTGATGCTTAGTTTTTCAACTGCAAAATATAAAATTTCTTTATACATTTGTCTATGGCAACTTTTCCCAACAAGGAAAGGGCCAAAACTGTAAACAGGTTTATTCTTCTTGGGCTCAAATCCACAGGGACCCAGCAGACAGTGTTGGGATAGTGTAAAAAAAAAGTAATTCTACAAAAAAATATATACTGTATTTATAATATATACAGTAGGGTGAACGTGTCAGTTTTACACGCAAAACGCACGTTACACGCTATACGAACGCACGTTACACGCTATACGAACGCACGTTATACGCACGCAAAACGAAACGAAATACGCGACGCACGCAAAACGATATACGCTAAACGAAATACGCTTAACGATATACGCACGCTAAAAACGCACGCAAAATGAAAACGTTTCTAAACCTTTATTAAAACATCGTAATCATTTTAGGTTTTTTAACAACTTTAGCTACATGTTGATCGTTTAGCGATAAATTTTTGATTAGGCCTATCATATAGATCTATTATGGTAGCTAGAAATGTATTTTTAAACGAGTTTATGTAAGAACTGAAATGCACTCAACCTAGCACCGAAATTAATTTTGTCACAGCCTCAACAAATGATTTTTAGAAATATTTATAAGCTATCGTGCGCTAAATATCGAGAGTAAAATAGTTAGGATAACGTGTTCCTTTTTATGCGCAATCAAATAAAGAACTATCCCTTGCATTCACTACGTAATCTTCTACGTAATAGTCAAACATGGCCGACATTGAATTATGCATTGCAAATTTTTATAAATATACAGTGCTAACAATTAAATTCAGATGGATTTATGAGGCATATCTATATATTAAGTGAGGCTGCATCATATAAACAATCGAACTATATAATCTTGAGTGTAAAAATAAAAGGAATAAACTATTTGACAGAAGTCACGAAAACAGATTAAAAACACAGGATTCTACCACGGATAACATTAAGCGGAAATGGATAACATTAAGGGAAAAGCTTCCAGAATCAGGAATGATTAAATTGCTGGCACAATACGTAGAATTTAAGTTTGATGTCCTGTATGTTTCATTAGGACACCGCCGATGATTTATCTTGTCTTGTCGCCAGTAAAATCTTCTCAAAACGAAAGTGGAAAGTAGAAATAAACAGTCTACTGAAATCCAGTGAAATCACAAAAAAGGTAAAATTTCTAGGGCATTACAATATATGAGTATATATAAATATTAAGAACGCATTTTTATTTTAGGTCTGAAACAGTAGTCGAGTGGAAAATAAATGAGGAAAATAAGGAAACCGGTTGTGATGTAAAGTTATTGGATTTACAAAGACAGCGCAACAGAAAATATTTTTCACATCACTTAAAATTGAAATTTATTGACGTGCGCTTAATATGTATTAAAAAGAGGATATTGAATGAGTGTAAGTTCAATGCTGAATTTATTGCACAAGTTGAATAAAATTATATTATGCGACCTCTGGTGAGCATAATATTTACTTTATTCAATGAGTGCAATAAATTCAGTAATGAACATACACAAATTTAATATAATATTCTATTTAACACATACTAAAAATTAGGGATGGGTACCACTAATTTTTTTGTACCGCGGTATATCACGGTATTTCACCTGTGTACCGCGGTATGAACCACGGTATTATGAAGACACTTTTTAATGTTTAACTTATGCAAACTAAGACCAACTGCCAAAAGAATGTTTAAACATTTTGATAAAACACAATACATTTTAGAAAAACAGATTAATATCTTTATTTCTTTCAACTAACATCTGTCTAACTGACTGGAAAATAATAAATAAAAGAAAGAAGAAAACATTTTATGACCATATCACACTTCATACATACGGCTGTATTATCAATTAATTTCTGTGTTATTTTAGACTTTTGGAGCCCAAAATGCCTCCAAATATCCGATTTCCCCTTTGGATTTTTGACCGTGGTGAATTCGTCCATGACGGTATGAGCTGTTTACAAGTTGGGCTATGTCTAAATGCTTTACGTTTTGTTATTGTCGCCACTCGTTCAATACGTCAAACATGTTTACTAGCCTTAGACTGCGCACTAACATGGGTGTCCCCTTTAAATGCATTTAAATGAAGAATGATATATAGAAAATTATAAAAATGTCGGCGGATGAAATGTATTTACACTACATAATAAAATATGAAAAACAACCGGGAAACGATCCGACCTTTCCGCGACTAATTATTCGTTAGAGTATTATACTGTGCATTTACTGCTGCTCTAAAAATAGACTTGGAATTCCACTTTAATTTAGGTTGAAAGTTGAAACACAGATTACAGGGTAAATAACGTCCGAATCTTACAAAGATATTATGTAAAATTATATATCAAAAAACCGGTATTCCTAGGGGTCGTACCGGTACGTACCGCGTCTGAACGAAACCGCGGTATACCGGTATACCAGTAATACCCACATCCCCTACTAAAAATAAAGACCTTTTT